CTCTCCTCTCTCTCTCTCTCTCTCTCTATCTATCTATCTGAATCTTATGAAAATTTACCATAACAGTATGTTTCCTTTTGTGCCAATCCAATCAGTGTAGTTTTTCACCTATACTGTTGTTCTCTCTTGATATAATATATACAAACTGATATTATTCTATAAGAACACAGACAACCCTTGTGCTAATTAGCTTGTGTCTGCATTACTCAGTGCTTTTTGTATGCCCCTACAGTCGTAGATTCTACTGCATTTTGGGAGAGCCACATAGCCAATCAGGACCAGACATCTCCTTATCTTCATTAGCTTATTCATCTCAAATTGCAGCAACCTGTAATGATCAGGAGCATGATGGGATTTTAATCCATTTTGGTGGATATCGAATGGATACACAGCACGGTCAAGTCAAAGATGTGCAGTTTGATGATGAGGCCTCACCAAAAAGCTCTGTGCCACTTCTACAAAGCTTAATTGGTGACAGGAACATCACTAGATCATTTGTTTTAAGTGTTGTGTTGGTTAAAGGAGGCGTCGGTGAACCACTCAGGCTGATATAATATGTTCAATCCTGTTAGATCTCGAGTGCTCTTGTCAAAATTGTGAGTCATGTACCCAATTGTGGTAAATCTTTTGACTCCTCGATTAATAAATCTTTTGACTCCTCAATTGTGGTAACAACATGATCATTCCCTTTTCGTTGCATTAATATTCACCATCATTCCCTTTGTTGGGGATGACACTGCGTTGGAGGAGAAGCTATGGGACTTGTATGAGAGGTGACAGAGCCACCATGGCGTGTCACGCAGCGTCGACGAGAAGCGCATCCGCTTTGATATTATTAAAGAGAATGATCATGTTGTTGTCACAATTGAGGTGTCATCTCCAACGAAGGGAATGATGGTGGATATTAACGTAACGAGAAGTGAATGAGCATGTTTTTGCTAAGGAGTCAAAAGATTTATCAATATTTTCATTTGATGAACTAATGGATTCCTTGCGAGCACATAAAGTAAGGTTGTGTTAAAAATTGCATGCTCGATGGAGCAGCAAAGCTACTGCACCAAAAAGGGTGCATGCAACAAACATATATCTCATTTGGTTGATGTCCGAACGTTACTAGTGATCACGTTTGACTTTGTTCTACCTACAATTTATCATCATTAGGACTTGATTAATGTTAATTGCATCAATTATTGAAAGGTGGCGACACAGTAGTAGTGGTCGAAGCAAAGGACAAAAATACTTGGGTTGAGTATATTAGCAATGGCACATTTCCTTTGGCATGTTCTTGGAAGGTGACCCCCCGGGGAAAAGTTAGGCTGACTTGGCATAGAAAGGTTGGAGAGAATTCAAGTGCAAATTTGTTGATACAATTTTATGTGATGTTAGAAATGTATTATTATGTGCTGTAGCTACTTTTCAGTGGGCATAGAGAAAGACTAACATGAAAAGGCTTTGTATCTCGTCAGATGCTAGATGTTACAGCTAATTAAATGTGTTGGAATGGTAGATGTTTCTTCTTTTTCTTTTGGCGATATTGACTC